TGTTTCATTCCTCTGGACAATTTTTTAAATTATCCTGGCTAGATTCAGGCTACAAGTTCTGAGCTGCCTTCTATGGTCTGTGTTTTCAATGTCAATTCAATGTTCAAAGCCTTTGTAGACCTATCCTGCATGTTTGCCACCCACAGGCCAGCAGATATTCAGGCAGTTATCTACCCTGTTGTTTAGTTCTCAAAAGCTTTGGTGTTCTGTTAGGATCAGATACATGCATGTGCAGCACCGGGGACGTGTAGGAGTTTGTTCACAACCGTGTAAGATTACCTTCTCAAATCTCCTGTGATTTCACCCACACTGTCCTGTTCACAGGTGCGCCCCCTTCTAGTCCTGGCCAGATAGCACTTTAGTCTCCCTTCTTTGCTGTGTACTTCCTGTGACTGCTTCTGTGTCCGGGAAAGGATAAGATATGGAGATTTGAGAGGAAAATGGGGAGGGGTGAATCTGATGGGATGTGGGTGGTGGGAGTCACCAAGAACTAGCTGCTGTGGCTGCTGGGCTCCTGCTGTGGGCTGGTGCCCAATGGGATGTGGGGTGCTGTGGCTGCTGGGCTCCTGCTGTGGGCTGGTGCCCCAGCAGAAGATAGAACAGCCAAAATGAGCATTACATTTAGCCAAAGGCACACGGAGGGGTTTTCAGTCCTGTGGGGCTCGTGAAGTGGCGATAGCAAGTCGCCATCTGTCATACTTTGATTGGGGTTCCACATCAAGTAAATGGACTAGCACGCAGCTCCCTGCCTTTAGAAGTAAGTGCCAGGCCCAGGTTGATGCTATTTGTTGGGTGTGGTAATGGGGAATTTATGCCACTCTTGTGATGCGTGATAAAATCAGGGGGTGAAAGCACCTATTAACACTGACTAACTCAAAAGCTGACCACCAGCACACACATCCATTGTTCCCACCAGCACTCTTTAGTGATGGGCTTTGTCTGACTGGCTTCACAAGAGACAAATGCTATTACAGGAGACCAAATAACCTTGTTTAGGCAGTGGCCAGATAATAGAGACGCTCCAGGTATTAGCCTGACTGCATTAGTTTGATTTGTACTACTGTTCACTTTGTCCTGGGCATTAATGGAGACAAAGGCTTGGAATTACAGGAGCAGAGATAAGCTGTGGACTAGAGCCTGTGTGCTTTGAGAGAAGGATAATTCTATCTTGTGTTTTCATTTTCATTTTCATCCTGTTTGATTTTTCCTCATAGTTAAAGTCCAGTCTCCTCCCCTCCCCCAAATATCCATATAGTCTCTCCAAATTACTATCAATTGTAACTGCTAAAAAAATTTAATGGCTCATTATTTTCTTTAACAAGATCCACATTTACGTTTTAGGTTTTTGGAAATGATTTTAGGGGAAAAACACAATTGATCTTGTATAGTATCTTGCTTCTTAAATATTCTTACATATTATGGGCTCACTTCACAATATTTAATGATATTGTTATTAGTCTGAAAATGTAAAAGGATGTATAATTACATTCATAGTTACTTCTTTAATATTATAAATTCTAGTATTTAAATTTTTCTGACTTCTGTTATTTGTTTTAATTATAAATGCATCATTTCTATTATAAATTATTTCAGTTATGTATAACTTCATCTATAAACACAATTTATTTCAGTTATAGACAAAATCGAATTTTATTTTAAAAAATATATTTTTAATTCTCATCCAAAGATATGTTTCCATTTATTCCAGAGAGAGAGGGGAAGGGGGAGAGAGAGAAAAATATCCATCAAGTTGCCTCTTATTCAATATAGTACTGGAAGTCCTAGTCATATCGATCAAACAAGAAAAAGAAATAAAAAGGCATCCAAATTGGAAAGGAGGAGGTAAAACTGTCATTATTCGCAAATGACATATTGTACACAGAAAACCCTAAAGAGTCCACCAATAAACTACTTGACTTAATAAATGAATTCAGCAGGATACAAAAATAACACCCAGAAATCGATGGCATTTTTATATACCAATAATGATCTCTCAGAAAGAGAAACTAAACAAACAACAACAACAACAAAAAACCCAATCCCACTCACCATTGCAACAAAAAAATTAAGATACTTAGGAATAAACTTATTTAAGGAGGTAAAAGACCTGTACTCAGAAAACTATAGGATATTGAAAAAAGAGATAAAGGAAGATATAAACAAGTGGGAGAATATACCGTGTTCATGGATTGGTAGAATTAGCATCATTAAAATGTCCATAGTACTCAAAGCAATCTATAGATTCAATGCAATCTCTATTAAAATATCAATGGCATATTTCACAAATCTAAACATTTATATGGAACCAAAAAAGACCCTGAATAGCCGCAGCAATCTTCAGAAGAACAAAGTTAGAGGGATCAACATATCAGATATAAGTTTATACTATAAAGCCACTGAAATCAAAACAGCCAGGTACTGGCACAAGGCATACAGGTCAGTGGAACAGAACAGAAAACCCAGAAATCGACCCAAGCCATTACACTCAATTAATATTTGACAAAGGAGGCAAGAGCATACAATGGAATCAAGACAGTGTCTTCAATAAATGGTGTTGGGAAAATTGGACAGATACATGCAAAAAAAAAAAAATGAAACTAGACCACCAACTTACACCATACACAAGAATAAACTCAAAATGGATAAAAGACTTAAGTGTAAGTCGTGAAACCATAAAAAACCTAGAAGAAAACAACATAGGCAAAATCTCAGACATCTCTCGTAGCAATGCTTGCTGATACATCTCCTAGGGCAAGGGAAACTAAGGAGAAAATAAATGGGACTACATCGAAATAAAAAGCCTCTGCACAGCAAAAGAAACCATCAACAAAACAAAAAGGGAGAACATATTTGGCAATGATACAACTGATAGAGTTAATATCCAAAATATATAAGGAACTCATAACCGAAGGAAGACAAACAATCCAATTAAAAAATAGGCAAAGGACCTAAATAGACACTTTTCCAAAGAGGACATACAGATGGCCAAGAGACATATGAAAAAATGCTCAAAGTCACTGTTCATCAGAGAGATGCAAATTAAAACGACAATGAGGTATATCACCTCACACCTGTCAGAATGGCTACCATCAACAAATCAACAAATGACAAGAGCTGGCCAGGATGTGGATAAAAGGGAACCCTAGTGCACTGCTGGTGGGAATGCAGATTGGTGCAGCAGTTATGGAAAACAGTATGGAGTTTCTTAAAAAAATTAAATATGGAACTGTCATTTGACCCAGTGATCCCACTTCTAGAAACCCGAAATACCAATCAGAAAGAATGTATACACCCCTATGTTCATAGCAGCACAATTTATAATAGCTAAGATCTGGAAACAGCCCAAGTATCACATGATCTCACTCATATGTGGAATATAAGTAACAAAATAAACTGACAAATGGAGTGGATCCAGAGACATGGAAGCGTGGAACAGAGTGAGGAATCTTGGAGGGAAGGTGGGAGAGGGTAGATGGGTGGGAGGTAATCAACTAAGGTTGGACATATGTAATACTTTCATTTATAATGAATTAAAAAAAAAATAGTGCCCTGACCGTTTTGGCTCAGTGGATAGAGCGTCAGCCTGCGGACTCAAGGGTCCCGGGTTTGATTCCGGTCAAGGGCATGTGCCTTGGTTGCGGGCACATCCCCAGTGGGGAGTGTGTGGGAGGCAGCTGATCGGTGTTTCTCTCTCATCGATGTTTCTGACTCTCTATCCCTCTCCCTTCCTCTCTGTAAAAAATCAATAAAATATATTTGAAAAAAAATAGTGCTTCATATCTTATATTAATGAAAGCAGTTCTTTATACACTGGAAAAATGGCCGTCTGGCAGTGGAGTCTTCCTTGGAGAACCTTTAGTGCCTCTGGTCTCCCAGTTACTGCCCTTGGGGCCCTTCTGACCTCCTCCCTCCCCATCTCAACAACAGTGGAACAGAATAAGGCAGCTCATTGCTGACCAGTTGTTGAGACACAGAGCTCTCTAACCCCAAATGTGCTCTCGGTAAATGATTTTTAAGAGCTTCAAAATCTGAGTCATGCTACTTTTCCTCAGCAATAATATGCAAACTCCCTCTAATCTTTCTCATGCAATAGGAAAAAAAGAAAAAAGTTCAATAAGAACCTTCTACTTTGGTTATCACTGGGACAGAAAAGGACAGAGGAATAGGAAAGAAAGAAAAGGGAAACAAGAATTCAATTCAAAGGGGCAAAGTTGAAATAGGCTTTTAGGAGACAAAGTCAGAGCCCTCAAGCTAACATTTCAAAAAGAACACCCACTTTGGCCTTCCATTAATTAAGTGGAAAACAAATACCCAGATTTTCAGTGGTAAGACTCCTTTCCTGGGATGCTATTTAATCCTATTTGCATCTTTAATTGACAGGTACAATGGCAAATGCAAAGAAAATACATAGTTTTTGTCTCAGAAAGCGCCCTGATTATTTCCAACAAGTATGTCAGAGTACATACGCAAGGCAGGCCTTATCCCACCTTCTCAGTCAACATATTACTTGTAACAAAATATACAGCCAATTGGAAATCACTACACTAGAAATAGATATAAGCCACATGTTCATTATCACTTTAAGGAATGAAATTAAAGTACAGCATTACATGAATTAGAAAAATATTTTAAAATTTGCATTTACTTGCAGCTCAATTCTTTTGTGCAATGGTATGAATATGACAACTGATACTTTTATATTTCTACTTTGGTATAATGACTTTGCCTTTTTAAAAAACTGAAACTGGCATTCTATAAGGATTTGTATTGCTATATGGTGAAAAATTTTCACTGATTCATGCCAGAAATCAAGAGAAAATAAGATTTATGAATAAATCATATTTGATCATCTATTAAAGCATAATCATGCTTCAAAATGCATTTGAAGGAAACTAATTGAAACAAGTCACACCTTTGTGCCATTCTCCAGATGATTTTACTTGAATTATTTTGTAAATGTACAGAATTCAGTTTGTGGAGCCACTTAGTCACGAGTTTACTGATTTTAGCAAACTAATTTATTACATTAAATTTGCTCACTGAAAAAATAGCTGGCTGTTTCTGAAAATGTTTATTAAAATATATAGAAAAGGCCTTTATTATATTTAAAAGTGCCCAAGTATAACAGGTACCATGATATAGTAATTATTTACAATATATTTTCAGTGACAATGCTCAGATTAAATGCAGAAAAGAAAACATCACATTTAAAAAACTTGATATTTCCATTGGTTCTTCGTGTTCTGCAACTGGAAGATAACTTCACAAGTTTAGTTTTCTATCTATTCCAAGAGATTTGTGTTGAAGTTTTTCTTCACCATTAGAAACTGTGATTCTCTGTGAGACCTCCTCAGTTTGGCACGCCGATTTTGGAACCATATCTAAAATTAAGAAGAAATAAAATAGATCTCAGAAACATTATTTCATTATTCTTAACATTTCAATCATCAGGAATAACAACTAAATTTGAAAATTACCTGGATTCTGTCTTCCTCTAGATTCAATTTTCGAGCTAAGTCTTCTCTGATATCAATGCCAGGATAGCAGTTTACTCTAAAGACACTTTCCAACACTTCAACCTAAGAATAAGGAAATAGTTATTTAAAATGTTGCTTCTTGGAATGTCATTATAAAATGGACTTTAATTTGTATAGCAAAATAATTTCATTTAAATCTTGGACAATTATTTTGTATGTCTTTTTTAAAAAATGACTACCCACAAACTGTTAAAAATGATACATTCTGTTGTTTTATTAATAACGCCTAAATTGAAATCCCAAAGTGAATGGGCTTTTGCTCAACAGGGTGTCAATTTAAGTCTTTGTATTATTATTAGTTGAAAAAACTTCCCACCTGGTTTTGAGTAAAAGCAGTTCTTGGTCTTCTGCCTCTATACCAACTCAACTCTCTTTTCAAAGACAGTCTTTCTGAGGTTGAAAAGTAACTTTCATATTTCATAACTCTTTCTTCTGGCACTGGGTGATCCACAGTACAAGAGAATAAAATCCCATTTGGAAGGCTTGGGACATGTAGATATAGGTTAACATCTTTCTCTAAAAACAGAAAAATAAACCCCATCTTAGAAGTCCAATCCTACATTCAACAAAGTTCTATAAGAATTTCAGGAACTTGACTTTAATTTTTCTAGTGACATTCTTCTGCGTTTCACAAGAGACTTGACCTCTCATCAACCAAAACCAAAAAGCAAATCAAAATGAAGATCCTGCCTTGGTGATAGAGGACCTTTTGGTCTCTGAATGTCACTTATTTTTCAGTGAAAAAAGACTTAGAATATCCGATGTGTCAAATAAACACAGAGATCTGCAGGTGCGTGGCCTTTCCTGTGAGTGAACACTATACCCACTGGATTCAAGGCTGATAGTCTTTTTATTTCCCATAGGACTCAGCTGGAGATATTAAAAGTCCTAGATACTTTAGTTATGTAACTGGATGAAACTGCAGTTTCTTTTTAACTCTAGGTAATATAAAATTAAAGGCCAGATTAAACAGTGCAAAAGAAATAAAAGAGTTTAAAAATTAAGCATACCTGAGGAGCTGCAGGTGTCTGCCCAAGGCCGGTGGGGTTTCATGGATGGAACACTGTCTTTCTTCTGGTCCAGTCCTAAAATGCTCTCAATTGAAAAGGAGCAGGGCGAGGGTTTGCTTTCCCCAAGCCGAGCGCCCTCCTGAAGGCTAGGAGACATCCTCCCGTGGGCTGCACAGGTCGGCAGCTCTGGCCTCTCTGCACCTCTTGGCTGGCTCTGCCCCACACGTACAGGGCAGTGATCTTCCTGCAGGTCACGTTAGGGCTCTGCTGACAAGGGGGCTGGATTTAGAATGTCACTAATTAAAATCCTGTCTTAGAAAGTTTTAGCAAGTCAATGAACACCCGGTCAGCAGCTTGAGGAGTTAATTGTTTATTTGTTTGCAAAGTAATTAGCAACTAATGGCTACACCAGGGGGGCCACCTACAGGGACAAAATGTGTTATCTCTCCTAAGCAGAACACAGACTTAACTTTCTCAAAAGAAGTGATGCACAAACTAGCACTCCTCTTTTATTTGAAACCATTAATGCATAAAATCATGCTTTTATTCTGAAGTTTATACTTTCATGGACTCCAGTTACCTAAACATACAGGCAAGATAGGAAAGCAGTCAAGTAATAAATAATCTAATTTAAGTGAATTTCCTTCCAAAGAAATTGGGAAAAGTAATAATCTCTTAATGCTATTACGGTAATTCTGATGAAAATTCCTGTTTTTCATATGCATATGTAATAGTAAATGTTGTCAATGAAAGCACAATAGTATTTGGAGTGCAGCATACTGGAAAAGGTTGGCAATGTTATTAACGCTGAGTGTAATTGTCTTCCAAGTGCCTGAATTAATTCATAAGAAACAGTTGCACCAAGTATTTTAAATAATTAATGAGAAAATTCCCTTCTTTCATCTTTTGTTTTAAATGCGAGAGATAGAAATTTATATAAAGATTCATATGTAACTATCTCCAAGCAATTTAAAAGCATGGCTTCAACGTAGTTATTAAAGGGAAGGATTTCTCTCACCATAGTTATTTCAAAGAAAAGAACATAGTGTACTGTATTTTTTTTTTAAAGAAAAATTTCCCTCTGAAGGATTGGGGGGTTTCCATGAAGACAATAGGTTTATGAAAAATAACCAAGAACAGAATGTTTTAAATTTGTAATCTTAAGAAAAACTGAAATTAAGAGAAGAATACAGCTGCTGGTTGGGAAGATTTTGAAGTGGCCGCTCCCTGCAAAAGGTACGGTACTTTTAGTTCTGTGCTCTGCTGTAGCTCTTCTCCCAGTCCCTTCCTGATGGTCAGCTTTATCATGCTTTTAAACAACTCCTGGACTTTTCTTCAGGAAAAATAGTCTGCTCATAGAGGAAATAGCCTTTACAGGATGGAACTCAGCCTCATCAGATTTTATCCCCTCATGATGTCATAAACATTACGCTAAATTCTCCTATGCAAGCTCTAGAGTGAACAAAAGATTCACATACAAAACATCAACAGGCACATGTAAGATGGTGTGTAGATATACAAGTAAAGCCATGCTGACAACTGCTAGACAGATGTGAGCAGAGCAAGGACCATGGGCCAAGTACAGAAAGCCCAATGCCTAACAAGGGACAAAACAAGAACCTTGCTCCAAGGTAACATCTTCCCCTCACATATCCTTGGTCATGAAGTTTAGACCCCCTGACCTTTTTCTCCCTAAACACAACATCTAGGCTTCAGTTGTATTTCAGCTCCAGGCCCAGAAATGTAGCAAAACCAGACAAGTGACACCGTGGCTGACCTCAGAACCCGCTCATTGACTGTGAAATGACCCCCTGCCCTGGCACAGACCAAACAGTGAAGACCAAGACCCTGAAGAGCACACCTGGAGAGATGATGAATATTCTATTGAGATACTCCCTGAGACCTCCCCTAAGATTTCCACCTGCAAGAGAGAGATAAATGCTCAGGACAAAGGACCCAGTGGGCACTCTCCTATCCCTCTCTTCTTCCCCCACAGGCACGCATCTCCTAACCTCTAAGGGAGCCCATGAGACTTCAACCAGGAGAGCAATGGACAGCAGCAGCTCGTCCCAGGCTACCCTCCTGACCCTGTCTCCAAGGCCCCCTTTTCTCTGACTTTTCAGTGAGTCCAAGCAGCCCAGGCTAAGCTTCCCTGTTGCTTCTTTTATGACCTTCCTTGTTTCACTGTCCTAAGTATATTTTTGCTGCCGTCATGGACCCAATACCCTTTGGCTCAGTGCTGTGTACCACTTCCCTTTGGATATCTCCATCAACCAACACCTTTTCCTTTAATAAATTCAATTTTTCTTTATTCGCCATCTGAGAAGGCTTCTTAGCCTGTCCGGTACCACTGACTTGAACCTTTCAAAAATGAATAAACTAGTAAACTTTATACTGCATGGAGGTTTTACCTATAGTAGATAGGCTGTACGAAAATGGGGGTGAACTTAATCTGGGAAGACTTGGAGCAAGAGAGACTTCATGCCCTTCCCAGATTCCTTTCTCTCCTCTGAAACATTCATTCATTCATCCACTCATTTGACAATTGGTTGAGTACCTACTAAGTACCAGAATAAATAGAATAGGATTCGTGCCCTCATGAAGCTCACCATGGTGCTGGGTGAGGTAGAGGTGGAAAGAGAGATAACGAACAATAGTATATAAATAAATAAATTCATACATTAATTAGAAGAATGAAAAAAAAAGCAGGTGAGCCCGGTAAGCTGAATCAACAGTGCATACGGTGGGAAAAAGCCTCGCTGAAACTCTGAGTAGTGCCCCCACAGAGTAGTGCCTCAGAGGTGCAAGTTGAAAGGATGTTATAGCACATGCTGGAGTCACTCCAGTCCCCAATTTCTTCTTTATCAAGAGGACATTCCAATATTTTTATTTGTCTTGAGTTGATTTTATCTGGATTTACATAATACCAGTTTATATATAGACTAGAGGCCCATTGCAGGAAGATTCCTGCAAGAATAAATAGGGCTTCCTGTGGCTGGAGCAAAGCAGAGAAGGGAGCGAAACCC